CGGTGGGTGCAGCTCGCTCCTCGCTCTGCTCCGTAGGTCGCTTCAGCTCGAGGTCATCGGCCACCTTGGCTTTCCCTTTGAGGGTGGCGACATAGCATTTGCGGGACTCAACCTTGTCACCTCGTGCTATCCTAATTCTGAAGTCTGTGGGGAACTTCATGGCCAAGTAGTAAGTGGACACCACAGCCCGTAAGGCATGGGTAATCGGCCGACCTACTATGGTGTTATACGGGGAGAGGGTTGCGACCACTAAGAAATCGTGGTTGAGCCTCACTATGCTAGGCCAAGTGCCGACTTCCACTGGTACTGTAATCCTTCCTAGGGGCCTGACTTCCTCTCCACTGAAGCCTACCAGAGGAGTATTCGCGGGCTTCAAGTCGCTCTCTTGGAGCTGAAGTTGATCGAATGCTGCTTTGAAGATGATGTCCACTGAGTTGCCTGAATCAACGAGGACGCACCTGACTTCGAAGTCGTTGATCTTCACCTTTATGACGAGCACATCATCATGGGGGTAGTGGACCCCACGTGCGTCGTCTTCTGTGAAGAAGATGGGGTCTTCCATCCTTGGCCGCTTTGGGGGGTTCTGTTCTTCCCTGGCGGCCTCGCGAGCTACGGCTGAGGTGCAGCCCGCGACAATCGAACCTCCAACTATGACGTGGATGGTCCCCCGAACTGGTCTCTCTTCGGGGGCTACTTCTGCGGCTGTTCCGCTTGCCTACTGGACTCAGGAGTGTCTCTACTCTGCTCCCCTTGCCAACCTGCTTTATTATTATTATTATTATTATTACTTTGTACAAAATTTCTCAGATATCTGCGACGAATGAGTTCTTTTATCTCATCGCGGAGATTTTTACAACTTTTGGTGCTATGACCGTGATCTTTATGAAAGCTACAATACAAATTTTTATTTCTAACATTAGGGTCCGCCTTCAGCCAAGGTCGCCACTTCATGTACGGGGCGTCCTTGATCGCCCTGAGGATCTTGGTCCGCTTTGCGTTGAAGGGCGTGTAGTCCCTTTCTGTTGCTGGAGCTCGGAAAGGCTGATTTGGCTTTACCCCCCGAGCTTGGTCCTTCTTCCTGCTGTTGCCCTGAGCTGGGGGCTCTGGCTCCCTCTTCCTTTTCTCAAGGGCCTGCTCGCCCTTTTGGTTGATTTCTTCCTCTGTCCCTATGAACCGATCTGTGAGCCTGAGGAACTCGGTCACGATCTTGGGCTGGTTGAAAACTACGTGCCACTTGAACTCTTAGTGACTAAAACCTCGCTTGGCTGCGGTGAGGTGAACTACTGGGTCCAGATCGAGTATCTGCAGACAAGCGTCGTTGAACCGCTTGATGTAACTCCGAATGGACTCCCCTTCCTTTTGAACTATGCCGAGGAGGCTTTCCTGAGTTCTCGGGCACCTCTTGCTGGTGACGAAGTGGGAGGTGAAAACTTGCATGAACTGCGCCCAGCTTCTTATTGAACTGGGCACGAGGTTTCGGTACCAGGTGCGGGCTACCCCTTTGAAGGTGGTGGAGAAGGCCACACACATGGTGGATTCGCTAGCTTTTGCCAGGTGCATCTGGGACTGGAAGGCGTCCACATGATCATTCGGATCAAAGGATCCATCATACTTGTCTAGTGGAGGGAACCTGAAGTCCCTTGGCATGGGGACAACAAGGAGTTCTGGAGACAATGGGGAAGAAACTGAGAGGAGAGGGGTAGCTTTCACTTCATCTAAGCTTACCTCCTCTTTTCCTTTGAGCTCGGGGGAGACTCGGGTAGCAGTTCGGCGAGCTCGTCGGCGTCTTCACTGCTACTTTTCCGGCTCGGCATTGGTGCTTGATGCTTAAGTGTCGCCGAGCTTGATGGGCTCGGACTGTTGGTGGTGGCTCTGAACCGAAGGACCCTGCTTGTAGTTTGCGGCTAGGACCTCAAACGGGTTCTCTTCAAGCGGGAGCTCGAACTGCGAATGCTGGGGCGATGCGGGCTTGGTTGGCTGGGAGGCCCCCGACCTGCCCACAGGCTGCGAGGTGGGGGTGGCTGGCCTCTCCTTCCTACCATGGGAAGAGGCTTGTTTCTTAGCGGGATCCTGGCTTGGGAGGCCTCTCCTCGGTGAGGTCGCTCGCTCCGGCGGGAGGCTTGGTATGCTTTGTGGCCGGGTGCCGAGGGGGAAGCAGTGGCTAGGCCTGTGGCAAGGAGGGAAACTGCTGCTGGTACTAGTACTAGGAGACCTGATGCAACACTTGTTGTTGGTAGAGTTAGAACTGCTTAAATTGTTGCATTTGAGCTTGCATGGCTTGCATTAGGTCTTCCAATTGGTTCAGGTTAGCCACTAGGGGCACAACCGAAGGTTCAACAAAGGTTGCTCTGACTGTGGAAGGGAGTGGAGCGATTGCGGGTGCCACTGTGAGAGGCACGTTCAGACTGGGAACTCCGTTCACAGATAGGGGAACAGTGAACTGTCCAATACAGACAGTGGGAAGTTAAGGTTGCTCCCCAGAAGCGTTCTGGCTAGCACCATGTCCGGCATTGCTGGAAGAGGCCATGAATGCTAAGTTTTCAAAAGGAAACTATAGAAGCTTAGAGGAAGGCTTTTTGAAGCGTTTCCCATAGACGGTGCCAAATGATGCTGCACAATCCGGGCACTCCTAGCTGGTTGCTGACTGGCTCCTAGCTGGCAACGGACGACACCTGAGAAGAAGACGATGAAGAATTACCAGGGGACTTGCCTGGTGGGAATACTCGGAATGCTTAAGTTAGAACGCTGGGGAAAATAGTGAAGAGTGTAAAAAAGGCTAAGAGTGTAGGTCGCACAAGATCACTAAGTTAGCTCGAGAGCAAGTAAATTTCATATAAGATTTCAGATGTTCGAGAGAGAGAGAGAGAGAGAGAGCCCTTCCTTTCAACTAGGAGTCTCTTATATAGGCGTTCTTGTCATATCGGGCATAACCGCCACTAGGCTTCTATCACAACCGTTATCTGTCAAGGCTGCGCAGTTAACCATTGCAGGGTACTACCCAACTAGATGAGTGACACGTTTCGGGGGGACAGGCACACCACTATCTATCGAGAGACATGGGTGCAATCTGTTGAATTGGTAGGGACTGCGCCGTCAGTCAGGAGACGTGGGCGCAGTTTGACGGGTACGGTCTTGTCAGATAGAAGCTTTCTGAAAGCATCGCGTCGCTTAGTCGCGAGCTACCTTGTAGCGAGCTATCCTGTCGCGTAGCGAGCTACTTTGTAGTGAGCTCCTTGGGGTAATTCGAGGTGACTCCTCTCAAGGTTGCCTTTGGGGCAGTTTTTCTGCCTAAGTGTTGGAGCGAGCTAGTTATCCTAGCTCGCGAGCTGGGATAGACTTGTCTTGGAGTATTCCCTTCTAGTAGCTCGGGGGACCTCGAGCTCGCGTTGCCCCCTATAGCGAGCTATGGTGTAGCGAGCTGCCCTGTGGGCTAGTTACTTAGTCGCGGTCAGGCTATGGTGCTGAGTTGTTGCTCCTGTTGAGTCATGTCCACGTGTCATCGTCTCAAGGGGTCGGGTCAAATCACCCTCCATCAGGTACTGTTATGGCTATCGGTTTTCGGATCAACGGTTTGACTATCTGGTTCGATGGACAACCCGTTCTGACAAAAAAATAAAAAATAATTAAAAAAAATGGCCAAAAATTGTTGAACGGATCAACAGTTTGACCACCTAGGTCAACAGGTCATTGAATGATTCAATGGTTTTTGGCCCGGAACCGGGTTTAGGGTAAAATGGAACCAATTGCCTGGACAGTTCCTGGGCTGAATGGTCCGACTGTTCGGGTCAACAGCGATTCGAAAACCATTATTATTGCATTTTAAAGTTCAGGGACCAAAATGGCACTAGGCCCAAAGTACATGGTACGTGCCCTGTATACTAATTGGGAATTTTCCCAGAAAAGGACTATAACCTATCTAGGGTTTCCAATAATAACAGATATATATCCACCTAAGTCTTTAAAAATATGATGATTATGCTCAAATAAAAACTTAAAATAAGGAGTCCAAATCTGTTACGCACAAACACTGTCACTGCACACTATGTTTTATTGGTACGTGTGAATAGAAACTTTTATGGGTTGCAGATTCGAACTTGTTGAGATTCATAATGTACATCTGTAGTGTCTAATAGGTACGTGCGGGCAGTGTCTTTGTGGGTAGCAATGTCTCTGCATATTTTTTATTCACAAGCCTCACTAAAATTAAATGAGAAATTACTTTACATGAACTGTAGAAGTCTACTTTGTATAATTCTAATTTACTAAGAAATCCACATTTAAAGCTGCCAAATCAGTTGAAGCTTCAAGGAATCCATCTCTAGGACAACTATTTAAGAACATAAATCGAAAAAAAATCTAGATTGTCACACAATCGTTTCAAAGGCTCTATTGTCAATTTTGACGTATATAACTAATATCTTCAAAACCCTAGGTTCCGCTGCTGGTTTACATTGTACAAATTAATTGTTTTTGACTATTGAAGGATTGAACCATGGCCACAAGCCCACAACGACTTCATCAAGGGATGCTACTTGTATGTAATGGGGCCCATATAACATAACATATAATCTTCAGTTGACCCCATCTCATTCTCATCTCTACAAATGCATGCAAGTTATCGTTTTATCCATCCAGACAATTCAACTGACCCCACCAGATATATAGTCCGGCCACCGGATGGAGCCTTTGGATGAATCAATCCTTCATACAAATTAAAACCTCTTCTCACCTTCTACCGACAAACTATTATATATACACTGTGTGCACTCTTCTGCTAATAAACGGAAGGGTCCCAGATGGCTTCCCGTATTATTGCCTTTGTCCTACATCATGATAATGCATGCTTCCATTCATTTCTGAAAGGAATAGAAGATAAGATCAAAGATGATGTGGATCTTCAATTTGTCAAAAGTCAGATTTTCGATCGTTTTTTTTTTTTTTTTTTTTGAGGTTCTATGATGGTCGATTTGTCATAAAAGCAGACAAAGGAAGAAATTAAACGCGTTTTCAGCGCCTACAGAAGTAAAAGTAATCAAGATGATCTACACTGATCTGGTCCCTTATTATAAGTAGACATGCCTTGGCTAGCTCTCTTCTTCGACACAACACTCGATCGGCAACAAAATGGAAACGTCCTCTTCACCTTCAAAATCACTCCCATTCTTCTTCTTCTTCTTCCTCATCTTTCCCTTTATAGCTGAAGCTAGTGTTCCCCCTTCCAAAACATTCAAATTCGTCAATCAAGGTGATCTGGGTGAATTTTCTGTAGAGTACCTTGCAGACTATCGCCCCTTGAGCATTGTTCAATTCCCGTTCACTCTTTGCTTCTACAACACCACCCCTAATGCCTTCACCCTTGCCTTGCGAATGGGTGATCGACACACCGAGTCGATCATGCGTTGGGTTTGGGAGGCCAACCGTGGAAACCCAGTTGGCGAGAATGCTACTCTAACGTTTGGCCGCGATGGCAACCTCATCCTAGCCCACGCCGATGGCCGGGTGGCTTGGCAGACTGGCACCGCCAACAGGGGTGTCACTGGCCTCAAGCTGCTCCCAAATGGTAACTTGGTCCTGCATGACAAGCGAGGTGGGTTCGTCTGGCAGAGCTTTGACCACCCAACCGACACGCTTTTAGTAGGTCAGTCGCTGCTCCTCGGCGGTCCCACCAAGCTTGTTAGTCGCGTCTCCGCCAAGGATGGCTCTGAAGGACCTTACAGCTATGGCATGGAGGGCAGACGGCTGGTTATGTACTACAAGAGTAAGAATTCCGGCAAGCCCTTGCTATACTACCAGTCGGACGAGTTTGGGGATGGACGAGGCGCCTTGGCGCATCTCAACTTCACAAGTGCTCCCGAGTCGGACACAGCCTTTGCTTTTGAGTTGAAATATGGGTTCGACATGATCAACTCCCCCAGCTTTGGTACTTTCATCTTGTCCAGACCCAAATACAACACCACCTACTCATTTCTTCGAGTTGGGTTTGATGGAAACCTCAGGATCTACACCTTCTACGACAAGGTGGATTGGGGTCCATGGGAAGTGACATATACCCTCTTCGGCAGAGACGAGGGGGATGAGAGTGAGTGCAGGATCCCGACGAGGTGTGGATCAATGGGAGTTTGCGAGGACGATCAATGTGTGGCTTGTCCAAGGCCACAGGGCTTCTTGGGTTGGAGCGCCAAGGATTGTGCACCTCCAACGCTCCTTCCTTGCAAAGGCGGGGCCAATGTGGACTATTACAAAGTTGTGGGCGTTGAGCATTTCATGAACGCATACACAGAGGGAGATGGCCCCATGAGTGTTGCTCAGTGTAGAGATAAGTGTAACAAGGACTGTGGGTGCTTAGGCTTCTTTTACAGGGAAGAATCGTCCAAGTGTTTGCTGGCTCCTGAACTAGGCACCATGACTAAGGTGTCCAATACCCATCATGTAGCCTTCATCAAGATTTCCAAGTAGACATTGCTCCAAGGATTATATTTCGACTTTGGATCTGGGTTCCCAGTAATAAAGGCTAAGAATAAGCCATGCAACTCGATCTGTGGCAGCTTACAGCTACAGTTCTCAGTTAATTTAATACTTTTTCATACACAATGTATCCTAAATAAATCTTGCTGTTATTGCTTCCATCATCTACCAGCAGGTATCGTTTCTGATCAACTTGTCCAATTAGTCTATTATAAGCTTATATATATATATATATGAAAACTGAAACCAGCAATGATCAATAAGGGGTACATAAGAAAAGCTATGGGATCTCTAGCTCCTCTCAACCACGCCACCACATCTTTCAAACACAAACATAAAAGGCTGGAACTTATAGAAATTTTAGCTAAAAAATAAAAAAAAAAATTGAAGAAAACATAAGAAAATGATAAATATATATATATATATATATATATTTCAAGAAAAAAGTGGAAAATTCATAAAATACATAATTGATAAAAATTCAAAATAAGTATATATTTCAACCCAGAAATCATAGAAAAACACAAAAAAAAAATTATAAAAAATATATTTTATAACAAAAAAATAGCAAATATTATTGATACACTCGTTCACAGGAAATTATAAAATTTCAGAAAAAAAAAAAAATACAGCCGATGTGAGTTTCAGCTTCTCTCAAGATCTACTCAAATTTTCCACGATAAGCATTAAGCAACCACTCATGATTGAAATTTTCAGTTTTACAGTATTATTAGATGAGACATCGTCAGGATCTTGACGAACCCATCCTAATCTGCGTAGATATAAGTTCTGCCTTCGACAATCCTATGATTCACATCCTTCATTCAAGAAAAGCTATGGGATCCCTGATATATTCTCCATATTAAAATCAATACCTCATATGATTATTTTCATTATTTTATCTAATGAAATTTTATTTATTAAGCTCCTAAAATCTATTAACATTGATTATTTAAAGTATATACAGTTGCTATCAACTTATATGGTAGTTGATGGTGAACCCACCTAAATATTGCTTGACGTTGATGCAGAATTGCAGAATAGAAGGCTTGCTCCGTTACTTGCTTTTATTAAGTCCTACTAGATTCTTTCAGTTGGATAGAATCACTTTTTGGCTGTAAATTATTTTCTTTTTCACTTTTTCATTTACTATCAAACAAACCCATGCACATGAATGAGGTTGAATAGAAATTTGGTTATGATTGAATTGATAAATTTAGGTTTTGACATCAATTTGGTTCCAGCGAAAGTATATGTTCAAGGTTAGTCTAGTGTTGGCCCTTAACCTCATACCCAATTTCATCTTAATTTATACCCATGTTTTATTTGACTAGTAAGCATGCAAAGCACGTGATAATTCTAGATGATGATAATGATAGTAATAATATATCCAAAATTTTTTATAAACTTTTATGTATTTTTTGTTTTTATATTTATATTTTTATTATTAATTGGATGCAGATTTCAAAATCTAAATTTGATTACATAAACACCTCATCAAAATATGTGATAATTGGATTGATTTGTGAAGTTTCAGGTATCATTGGCAAGCCTATTTGCTTGGTAGGGATGTAAACGGATTGGATCAGATTCGAATAAGGGTATATCCGAATCTGATCCAATACTATTAACAACAGATCCGATCGCATCTCATAAACATGGATTTAAATACGAATCCGATGAGGAAGTTAGATATTTGGATCTGATCCATTCCAATTTAATTATTTAAAAATTAATAAAATATTAAAAGAAAATAAAAATATAAAAAATTTACAAAATTCAATATAAATAATGTATTTATAAATAAATAAATAACACACACACAAACATATGTATATATATATATATCGGATAGATCCAAATTCAATCCAGTTTTGGTTGGATTATATTGTTTAACTGGGACCCGATCCAAAAATCCAGACTGGGGATATTCGAATTTGACAAAAAGGATTGGATCCGATCCGATCCATGTGCACCCCTATTGCTTGGCTAGATTCTCATTTTGTAATGTTTTATTTTTTTGCTCATTTATAAAAAAACATGTAAGGTTTAAATAGAGTGGATTGAATGTGGTGAAAAGTAGCAGATCAATTTACAATTTAAACCTCACAATTAAATAGAAACTAAATTCAAAAATGAGTATTTTAGTCAAAACAAAATTTCACAATCTTATTCATATTTTTAATACTAGTGTAAATATAGAATTATAGATGTGTTCAATTTTTACTATAGTTCTTTTTTGTATTTTTTTGTGTAAAACTAATTCTAATATTTTATACTTACTTTTTGTTTAATATGATAAATATATGATATTATACATGTGGCTGGACGCTTTTTTTTTGCAAAATGTATGCATTTTTTATTTTTGTATTTTTATATTTTATTAATTTTTATTATTTATTTATGACGTTAAAGTTTAATAATTTAACCCAAAAATTGAACTATTTATTAACTTTTATATTTCATTTTTGGCTAATTCTAAATTATGATTTAATTTTCATTATCAATAAAAATAATTTGATTACATAAATATGTCTAATTTTTCTACAATTTTTTGTAATTTTTTATATTTTAAAAATTTTATTACCTAACTATGATTTTGTAGATTGATCAATTTGATTCAGATGGTTGAATTGATTAACCACCACTTGGATAAAGAATAGTTTTATTTTTTAGTCAATTTTAATGCAAATGGATTTATACTGTTAAAAATATTGACATAGATCTAATTAGTAGCATTTTATTAGTGAAAATAACTTAAAAATATAGTATTTAATAAGAGAAAATAGGATTTAATACCTTAAGTATAAGACTTAACTAGAGGACATTAAATGAGGTGGAAAGTAATAATTGGATGTACATTTTCAACCTTTACAATTAGAAATGTATTAAATAACAAATATGAGCATTTTAGTAGCCATTAAATTTGACATTAAAGCTATAATAAAATAACTTATATACCCTTTCTCAGACAAAAATAAAAGATAATTTTAATCCAAAACAACTTCCACGCTACATTCACACTTTTATATATGGTATAGATAAACATTTCCAAAGAATTTCAATAGTAAATAAGGATTTAATGGGGGGGGGGGAGGGGAGATGTTACAAACAACTATTAGAGAGAGGAGAGAGGGAAGAGAATAAAAAAGAATTTACTTAAGTGTAACGATAGATTTCATCATGTTGAAGCTGGGCTTATATTGACCCTTTCTATTTTTCATAATATTTTGATATCATCATGAACATTTAAGCCCGGATTTGGAGACCCATGTTTTGAGACCCTTAACTAATATTTCTTTTTTTTTTTCAAAAGAACAAGAATAATTATAATATCTATGTTTACCTTATACAATAAATTAATTATTAGTCTACGGGCTTTTAAAAAAAATCTAAGTGAACATGCGTGGGCTTTAACCAAAACAAACCCACCCAAGTTCGGTGTAGATGATGTGATGGATGGAACCCAACCGTGGCAACCACCAAGACTGTGGTCTGCCTTGGATTACTCAAAAGTTGGCAAATTGGTCTTAAATTGACAACCATGGTAGATTTATTTGCCGAGCCTCAATTCAACTACGTACCCAACTGGCACCTTTTCTGTTGGTCATCAAGAACTGTGCGTCTACTGTGGTCCAATCAACTTTGTTAATAGTCATGCATTAATGGGCCAGCATTATCCCAAGCATCCCAGCTTTTTTATGGAGAATTGAAGATGGGGTTACAAGGTTGAATACAATTAATTAGATATTGAGGTCATGTTTTGGTTCCATTTTCATTCTTTTTCATTCTTTTTGATAATAAAATTGAATGGTCAATAGAAATGGATAGAGAAAATATTGTTACAAATCAAAAGTTTTTTTTTTTTCCAAAAAAAACGAAATCTTTTTTGTGAGAAGAATGGGAAAAAATTAATGATTAAGAGAGAGGGGTGGATCTATTAATTCTTAGGAAAAGTCTATGATAACAGATAATTCTTAGGGAGTCATTCCCATGAGAACAGGGAATGACTCCCGCTTCACTACTGAAGTGATTAGAAATGCTACTTTGATTGAGAGAGAGAGAGAATCCGTGATTGGTTAATATAATTACAATTCTCCAAGTCTTTTCTACTTTTTTAATGAAGTGCCAACTTTCAAGAGAAGATCCATGATTGTAGGATATTTCTAAATTCTTAAAAATTTGCTTCCGATATGCTTAAAAATATAAAATAAAACACTACCTAATTAGATGGGCCTCGAGATAAAAAAAAAAAATAGTACGACAAAACACCCAAAAAGAAAAAGGAAGACTTCTCCCCTATATCTTTTTTTAACTTTTTTTTGTATAGACAATTCAATGGGTGCCACCAATACAGGATTCAATAAGCGACCAAGCTTAGTTCTGGGCTCAAAAAACGAAAATTGATTGGTTAAAGTGTGGGAACAAAAATACTAAGTTGTTTTAACACTTCAACCCTCACCAAGAGGAGCAGAAATAGGATTCACAAAATAAAAAACAGTAATGGGAACTACATTGAAGGCATGGAGGAGATAAAAGATCTGTTTTGAAAAGTTTATGGAGAGGTTTAATAGAGGCCACACAAGTAATATGGAGGTTTGCCTTAATTAGGGAGATGTCTTCAGAAGAAATTTGGAATGCAATCCACTCTGTGGGAGATTCCAAATCTCCTAGACAAGATGGCTTAAATGCGTATTTTTTAAAAAAGTACAAGACAATCAATGGTAATTCAGTAGAAGACACAGTTAAAAGCTTTCTTTCACTCAAGGAAAATGACCAGAGGTACTGATAAAACATTCATAGCTCTCATCCCAAAAGTTGACAACCTTGACATGGTGGATAAATTCCCACCAATTAGCCTATGCAACACGATATACAAAATCATAGCGAAAATCTTGATTAATAGACTAAAACCTATTTTAAGAGACATTATTTCCCCTTTTCAAAGTGCTTTCGTGCCGACACAACACATCATTGGTAACATATTGGTTGCCTATGAGATGATGAACACATTTATTCAGACTCCCAAGAAATGTGATAGACAATAATGAGAAAAAGCAAAAAAAAAAAAAACTTTCTATGGAATCGGGATAACAAGAGAGGAATCAACTTAGTGAAATGGGAAATAATATGTAAATCAAGAAGAAATCGAGGATGGGGTTTAAAAAACCTAAAATGGGTGAATGAAGTAA